ATTCCGGGAAACTAGGAGGGAGATGGGACGAAAACATCAAAAAGAGCCTCGGCGGATCATGGAAGGGTCACACATAGCTTACGGGTCAGGTGTGAAATTTTTCTCAGGTTCGGAGTTGACAACGATAGAACAGGAAGATCGTTGCAATGAAGTTCCTGTCAACCATTTCTTCGAAAGGGCATATGGAAGAGCGATTGGATGGAGGAGGCGTAAGAATGGATACATGAAGGCGAGAAGCCAGGCCGGTGTACAAAATTGACAGGGAAGAATCTTGGCAGGGATAAAAATGAGCAGCGCGACAAGCGTAGTTTGTGGCAGGTGTGAGACGACGGAGACACGGTATGGGTCCACGTGAGACGGCAATAAATTGGTTATCTTTTATAATGTACTATTTTTTACTTGTCATCGTGCCTGTGTGGTACGATATTTACCAGTAGGCCGCGAGGCAGGGTACGCAGGAGTGAGAAGGAACCAGAGTAGTTTTTTGAAAACAAGATGATCTATGAAGGAGTGAGAAGGATCTAACGAGAAGTATAGGAAAGCAGTATCACCGCTACTACAAATCTGAAACGTGTCCAATTGTGGAGTGCCACGAGAACCCATGCGAGAATCGCGTCGCACCTGATGCCCAGGAAGGTGCACGGAGGTAGGGCAGGTCGAAACGCGATGAACAGGGGCGAGTGACGACTAAAGCAGATTCGATTGTGGCTTAAAAGTGGATTTTAGCGACGGAGAGAAAGGTAGGCTCTGTGCGTAATAGGGGCTCGTAAATTTGACGCCTCTGCCAGCCTGGGGCCGTTTTCATTGCATGAGAGAGACGAGCGTAGAGTTTTGGTGTAAGCCCGTGCGACCTAAAAGAATGATTCGAGAAGTCTCGAAACCGTCTCGAGTGAAATATTTTGCTTTTTTCCCATTTGGTATGAAGCACATTTTTACGCAACCACGAGATGTCGATTTCACTTCGCAGGCACATCGTGCCACTCTCCCTCGCGGATACGACGATGACCCCCCTTCGGAATAATCTTAACATCATGGCTCTCATTTTCCGTTGCGTTGGCTGCTGACTGACAGAGCGACGAGCGCCGGAAGCGCCGCTTGCACGCATTGACGATTTCTATCAACGTACATGAGACAAAGGCTTCTTTGCTGCTCCCGAACATGGCCGACGGTGGCAACTCCACCAAGTGCAGGCCACAATCAAAAATGAGGTCGGCAGGCAGCATCCTTTTATACCACCACCACACCCTCCCTTCCTCTTCCAAGCGACATTGTTCGCAGTAATGGAGGAAAGCAGGAAGTCGATCAGAAGCTGAAACAGGGGCAGATACTCCGGCCTCGGAAGTCATTTCGTCCTTACTGACCGCGAGTCCCACGTTGTCAGCAACGATTGGTGAATCGAGTCCACAGCGAAATGTTCGGTCTTTCGCATGATTCTTTTGAAGCGCAGAAACTGCTTTATGTATTCTCTCCGCTGGCCAATTTCGCATGCATCCTACCATCGCCATATCCAGTAATGTGTGAGGTAGGTGGAGTTTTGCCGCTGCAATCGCCCAGGCAAACATCTCCGCGTAATGTTTAGTCTTGTCTTCGCTAACGGTGGAGTACTGCGCGTGCGCAAGAGGGATAACAGCAGTCCATTCGTCAATGAAAGAGAGCCAGTCCGCGCGATGCAAAGCATACGGCGGTCCCACATTGTAAAATTGGTTTGCCTCAGCGAAACTTACTCGACTGCAGCCGTCCGTGTCCTCCTTACAGACCGGAAGCTCCCTCCACACGGAGCTCAACGAGTAGGCTTGGGCGGTCGGCCGCCCCCGCATTTGAGCAATCACCTCGCGACCACTTTTCGGAACCCGAAAAAGAATTTCGTCGCTTAAGTTTGTTTGACGAAGTTTTGGGGCTTCATTGACAGAATTCGTTCCCCAAGAAGCACTCGGCAGCAGTCCTAGCTCCCGCGGCCCAAATGGCGTCATGAAGAGGAAATCGGGGTCAATTGAAATGACGACCACATCTTCATCGCTCTCATCGAAAGATGCATCAGGTCCAGCCACTTCTCGAAGTGTTCCTCCGCCCATTTTATCCAGCCAAAAATGTAAGCTTTGCGCTTTGTTGGCAAATTTGTATCTTTCGGATGTGTTGGCCACATGGGTCATATCGTCCACGAATATCAAATGGAATCGAAAGCGAGGCGTCGAGCTTGGATGCTCGGCAAACGCTGCATGTTCCGCTTGTATCTGTTCTTTTGTCAGTTGGTCGTCCCCTGTCAATGAAGCTTTTTTCTCGCATCCACACACCACCCTGACGATTGCGCCACGCTGGCCTACACGCTCCGCGCTCTCCAACATTGTCATCGCCTGCCAATGCTGAAAACTTGTGCAGTCAGTCGAAAATTGAATGATGATTCTATCCTCGGCGTCGATTTCCGGGAATGATACTTCATAATCAATTTGGGCATTGCTGCTGGCCTTGCTCTCCACACTTATGCCATTTTCAGTGTCCGCCTCCGTTGCCGATAGTTGGTGCGCCAAGCGTTTTCTCCAAATGGCTTTTAATTGGTCATCGTACAGATCGAGATGAAAACCAAGAATGTAGGGTAATACAAGGCAACCGAAAGAGGAAAACGCCAAGACTTTGAGAACGATGTTACGCCGTCTGGCACTTGAATGGGGATGATAGGTCATGGTGATAGGGTCCCAAATGGTGGCAGGCTTCTTGCAATGAAGCCGCCCTTTGGCCCTGTTTACCTGATTGTGCACCTTTCGTTGTGAAATGCGTGGGCGGTTTTGAATGGTGTGCAAAGTGTTGCAAACATTGAGTCGAGTGCCGACGCAGTGGCCCATTTCAGCGACCCGGCCTTCCGGTCGCCTTGAATAGAAGGGGGGGGCTCGTCTAGGGGCGAAACCTATGGCGAATGGAGTGTAAAACTTACCGCATCTAAGAAGTGCACATCGCCCAACACTCTGGCTCAGAGGGTGGACAGATCACGTAACAATGCACCTCATCTCGGTCTTCTCGTTTCCGTCACAGGCGCTTCCTTCTTGCCGAAGTGTTGTCAAGATACTTGAGCCCAAAGAGCGACTAGATCTTGCACGATTTACAAGAGCCCCATTTCGGGTGAAAATGTACTTGTCCTACGACCGATCAAGAAGAAATGGTGGTAAGCTGCTCGCAGTCTACCGATCTTTCGTCCTGCTTGTTATCTTCCTCTGCCATCTATCATCCGCCTTCCAGCCCTCTTCTCTCGTGCAGTACTCGGGGAGGTCGAGGGGAGACATTCTGTGTAAAAAAGGNTCGAGTAGCGGCAGTGGACCACCAGCATCAAAGGGATTTGGATTTGGTGCTAAAAAGGAAGCAAAGGGAGACAAATTCAAGTACACCGGCCGTCTAAAGCCTGGTGTATTGAGTCCTCCCCGAGATGTCCCAGCAGACATATTGCGGCCCGACTATGCTCTTGATGGGTAAGCAGTCGACGGCCGATTGTTGGAATGGCTCATAGATGCTGTGATTGTGTAAATTTTGGAGTCTTTCACTTAGTTCCTAGGACGCGCAACTTATTCCTGTTTCTCTGACAAATATCACAGGATGCCGAAAGCTCGCGATCCGCCGTTGCCTTGGATGATCGAAGTGAAATCTCCGGAGGATATCGCCGCTATGCGTGCCTCTGGATTGGTCGCACGTGAAGTACTGGATGCTGTCGGTCGACAGATCAAGGTGGGGATGACGACTGACGAGATCGATAGCATCGCGCACGGGGAAACGATAAAGCGGGGCGCTTACCCCTCACCGCTAAACTACCAAGGGTTTCCCAAGTCGTGCTGCACAAGCTTGAACGAAGTCGTCTGTCACGGCATTCCCGACGTGTCGACCAAATTGCAGGATGGTGATATAGTTAACGTGGATGTGACCGTCTATTATAAGGGGTATCACGGGGATTGCTCGGAAACCTTTTGTGTTGGGAACGTCGATGAGGCAGGGAAAAGGCTTGTCAAAGTTACATACGACGCGTGGCAAAAAGCAATTGAGTTCTGCAAGCCTGGGCGTCCTTACAAAGACATCGGTGCAATTATCGAAGAGTATGTAACCAAGGAGGGCTTCACCACCGTGCGAGAGTTTTGCGGGCACGGTGTGGGAAAGGTTTTCCACACCACACCCAACATCCTTCACTTCAAGAATAGCCAACCTGCGGGGGTGATGCAGCCTGGACACACGTTTACCATCGAGCCGATGATATGTGAGGGAACGAATAAACACATATTGTGGCCAGACAAGTGGACAGCAACCACTGCTGATGGCGCTAGGTCGGCCCAATTTGAACATACGTTGCTCATCACTCCGAGTGGTGTGGAGGCGTTGACAGGTCGCCTACCAACCTCTCCGAAGTTTTTTTGGGAGGTCTGACGAAACAAATGTGGTGTGGCGAGAATGGCCGCACGAGGAGAATAAATTGCAGATGCTTCCTTAAAAATGAAGAAATTAAATTTTGATTTTCAAGATTTTTATTTTGGGTGCTACTTTGGTCTTCCCTCGTGTTTTACAATCGTTTTTTTTTCCTGTAAGCATCTTTCAAACTTACAAGACAGGAGCTTCGCGTGCGATGACATCAGTATTTCCCCCGACATCTTACTATGCTTGAATCTGGTATTTCCGGCACTCTTATTAACATAACTTGTTAGGAGATCGGCGGGTGAGAAAATCTCATCCGCCCCTAAAAACGTTGCGTTTGAAAAGTCCTCGGTCGTCGGCTGGCGATGCGGGCACACACCACTTTTTTTATTTTTATTTTTCACTTTGCAATAAAGTACCTTAGGATCTGTGCCTACGTAGCATATCTCGTAATGTCATACTTTCCTACTTCTCTTGATTAATTTGTTACAGCGTTCCCTTGGATATGGACGAAAAGGGTAGAGTATTGCAAGGCCGTCTCGATTTTTGTGAAAGAAATGTTACAACGCTCCGGCAGGGGGTCAGGGCTCTTTTAAGAAATCACGATGAAGGATGCAATGTGACAATGGACCTTTCTCAAAAGGTTCGCGACACGGCTGCACAAGAGCAGTTCATCGATCTGCAAGAAGACCTCATCGCAATAGCCGAATGTACCAAGAGATTAGCAGAAGAACGCAGGACGATTATGTGCGAGCGTGCCGAAGAGCGGGTTATCTCTACTTTTGACCTCATTTTAAGTCGTGTTCTGCATCCGACAAGGCTTTTGTTGAAAGATAGGGAGAGAGCTCTTCGCAAATTTCGAGCCATGGAGAGGAAAATTACATGTAAGTACATGTGGGGGACTGAATTAAGGGGTCAATGAAAAAGTATTCGGTGACAATAGCCCTGCTTGATCTGTAAATATCTTGATAGCGTCACCCTCTTCCTTCTTCTTCAAGTTTCAGGAGAACAGACTCTGCTGAGCATGCTTAACTTGGAAGATGACGCAGATACAAAGCAGCAAAAGCTGGCTAATTACAGCGAGTGCGCCAAGCATACCGACGAAGTGGTGGACTGTAACTTTCGATGCTTCGAAAAAAGTAGAGTTCTGGAAATGAAGGCCATGCTGGAGGAGACCTTGCGTGCGGAGATGCTGTACCATTGCCGGGCATTAGAAATCTTGGAGCCCCTGTGCGTCTCCATGCGTCGCTTAGATCCGGATGAAGCCATGGCCAGCATGACCCAAGAGCTAGACGAGCTGAACACCGCGGAGGACGAAAATAATGGGCAGAGCAAAAGAGCTCACATGAGGGGCAGAAACAGATGTTGAAGGAGACAAAGAAAATCAGGGCAGATTGGGAAAAAAAGAGACGAAACTTGATGCTGCCCATAATTTACTTCGGTTAGTGTGAGGACGCTTTATTTACATGCTTTACAGAAGGTTTTATGTCGTGTCTCCTCTTTCCTTAATGCCGCGATGCGGCGGAAGGGGTGACGGAGGCGCCTCTTAAAACACTCGGCATGTTCAAGTATTTGAGTTGCTTATGTCCTTGACGGATTAAAAATTCAATTTTCTGAAAATCCATTCGACTTACTGACGTAGCATCTTCTCGGAAACGCGTACGAGCCAATGTGTACGTTCCTCCATCTATTTTGCCCGCGTCTTTGACTCTGGCAGCGCGCAATACTCGTCGGTAAAGGCTGAGAACTTCTTTCTGTAGTCCCGAGGCTCGTTGCGGCGACATCCACCCTCACCCAATCCTGTCGAGGAGAACGTCGAGCTCAGTGAGAGAGGGTGTGATGATACATTGTACAGTCAGGTTCGCTGGCACAGGGAGCTGAGCAAGAGAAAGGAGGGAAGGAGGTCCGGAGGCGAAAAAAAAGATGACCGATGCGCTTCGAGCCTGACAAGGGGCGCCTTCATTTCCTATCAAATTATTCCTTAAACCTAGTCTCTTCGCGGTCCTCTGCACCACCCCAGGCATGACACCGTCCCTGGCAAGCCCTCGAGGAATGCCCGGTAGATCGATGGCACAGCATTCTACATCGCCTTCTTCTCAAGGAGTCCTCAGAGCACTTCGACACATCCTTTCAACCCCTCAAAGCCTCCTTGACACGTGCACGCCTCCGGAATCTGAGCCCGACTAGGCCTCTGTGTGATCATCAAGCTTTCCTCTGCTCCATCATCCCTCTTCAGGACCGGACAATGTTGCGAATCTGCACGCCCTCCCAAACCCATCCATGGGAGCCTCACCGGCCCCCGCCCCATTCCCTCCGCCGGGGATCCCTGCTTCCACCAGCCTCCCCTCCACCCAGGCCCGGGGGACGGGGCCCCGGCATGTACATGTCTGGCATGGGCGCGTGCGCAGGGGGGCGAGACGACGCAGGTGGTCCGGGTGGGTGGCGCCCGCCGTCAAAGGGTTCCTCGAAGCGTCCGTCCGCGGGGAACCTCCCTCCCGCAAACCCACCGGCTGATCCCACCCGTCCACCGTCGTATGGTCCTGGTGGCGCGTAGCGAGGGGGGAGGGGGCGTAACGGTAGTCGTCATCTGCCGCGGCCCTTGGACGACGGGGACTGTAGTCCCGGGGCCGGCCGCCGGAGGAGGGGGGCGAGACGTAGCGGGATTCATACGGAGGAGCGTAGCGAGGAGGGGGGGAGCGGGAGCGAGCGCGAGAATCACGACGGTAGTCGTAGTTGTCGTAGAAAGCCGGTTGAGGAGGAGGGGGGAGAGGGCCGCCGCGGCGATAAGGGTCCTCGGGGTAGGGAGGTGGGTAACGACCGGGCGGGGGGCTGCGAGACCGAGAGCGCCCTCGACGGTAAGCGTAAGGGTCTGGGGGCATGTAGCTGGGCGGGTAGCGCTCTCGCGACCTGGACCGTGGACGATCGCGAGGCGGAAAACGGTTGTCGCCCCGCCGGTAATGCCCCGGGGGGCTTCGGCTGAGCCCGGGTCGCCTCTCAGGCCCGCGGTCTCGGCTCATCGGGGTGTCCTGTGGAAGGTGGATGCGGTTTCTTTTCAGACGTGTACATAATGTCCCCTTGTGTGGCTTTCAACCTTCACAGTTGCCAGGCCGTCCATCACAATACTCTCCACTCACCTCGTACACTTGGACCACCACGCCACGCAGTTCCGTGTTGTGAATGAGGCTCAAAGCTTCAATCATATCCTCGCGGCGGTGATACTCGATAATCCCTACGCCCGGAGTGCCACGGAGTACCTCTGTGTATAAAGGAGCCAATCCTTTCTTCCCTCTAGCGAAGTCCTTCAAATCTTGCCAGGTGGCTTCACGCGGCATACCTTCCACTCGAATCCGAAAATCAGACCGCTGCATCTCAGGACGAGGACCTTCTCGTTTCGGGCCCTTCGCTTCTTCTACTGTCAATATCAAACCGTGCAGTTCCTTTTTGTTCATGCCTTGGGCGGCCGCAACAACGGCATCCTCTCCTTCTCTGCCGCGCACGAATTCTACGAAGGCGTACCCATCTTTCTTCATGTCCACGCGATCAATTGGCCCGTAGCCGCTGAAAATCTCCCTCAACTCATCTCCCGTGACGGAAGGCGTCAAGTTTCCCACGTAGAGGCGCGTGCCAGGCATGATATATTTTTTACTTCCTTGTTTTAAGGGCGAGTTGGCAATTGACTTACCTCAATGCTTTGTTCCCACTGAATCCAGTTCAAACTTCCGTACCACCTACACCCCTTGTCCGCAATCTGTAGGACCGTATGACCAAGGACCGTGTGAAGCTTGACAGAAAACGTTGTGAAACGATGCACTGGCCACCACGCCCGTGGGGAGGGCGGCCGCGGCAGTACCCAGGGCGGGCCCCTCACGTGATGTTTCTCGCCCCGAGTCTCGCCAGCCCCGACAGACCCCGCCTCCGGGCACGTAAACCCCATGCCGTGCGTGCACGTCGGGTTCGACGTGCGGACACGCCAGAGGAACGTTCCTTCGCCGTTTGGAAATCTGCATGTGGTAAATGCATTTTTCCATTCTCGTTACCCTGTGCCGATGCGTCGAAAACGAGGACGATACATGGACGCATTCGGGTATCTCATAGACCCCCCAGTCCTAGTGGCAAATACCGTGTTCGCAAGTGTTGATTTTGACATGAGCTTTCTTTGTTTGACAGGCACCCTAACCAAAAAAAAATTTATGCTTAGAGCGTGCAAAAACCAAGATTATGTACCACAAGGCGTCGATTATCAGGCCATGCTTAAAAAATACAAACCCGTTTCACCATCACAGTACATGGATACCGAAAGTTGAGAGGTCGGCACCCATATGCCAATGACGATTGCCATGAGAAATCTCATCTCTAAGAGATTGCGGTCGAGCAAGTGTATTACAAGCATATGCTTATTTCTCACGTGTGGAGTTATTTTTACAAGTTACTGGGTAACCTTAGCCAGGAGTGTCGTGTCTGCGGGTAGCGCTACACTCGTCACAGAGGGATGCTGCATGGGTACAGCCTGTCCAAGCATACCTCCACTTTTAGCCATTATTTATCACATAGCTATAAACTACCTACCCCTCGATGAGAGCCCTGCTTGGAAGGCAAATGTTGCCTCCGCCGTGTTCTCGACCGCAACAGCCGGATGTCTCTTTTTGTGCGTTGCGCAATTTGGACGGGCACGATATCGTTACTACCAGTCTTTATGTACGTCAAGCTCTAAATATCGAGATACAGAGACGAGTATAACCACATTAATAGCTGCCGGGACAGCTGCAGGGCTTTTTGCATGGTCCCCCTTGGCGTGGAAATATGCCGTGCAAGCCACTCCATGCGCCCTAAGCACCGCGACGCTTGGTCTTATCCTCTATGCAGTGATCCAGTTTGGAAGTTGTTGGCAGCTCGAAGATCGCTTTTTTTGGGCATGTTGTGTCGCACTCTTGTGCGGTGTAGCTCTGTCCAGCCAGCGCGCGTCTTTCCCTTTTCTGGTGCCTATAATTTCCTATGTCGCTTGGTGCATGCGAAAAGACATAACGAACCAAAACCAGCGGGTCCTATTGCAGTGTACAGGAGCTTTTCTAATAGGTTTATTGCCCTATTTTTATCTGCCTGTAGTTGCATGGAACAATTATGCTGTCAATTATTATAATAAACTATCTTTGCGGGAGTTACGGCTGTACTCTCAACAGAGTACATACGACGAATCCCCCGGTTCAACACCCGAGCCAGACTGTTTTGGTACATATTTATGGGATTTGATTTGTGCTCAGGGTCTTGCTGGACTTGTACCATTGCTAGCTGTGGTCGGCTTATCTGCAGCAACAATGCGGACTGGTCGTTTCTTGCTACCACTTCGCCGCGACGGTGAACGCTACAAAGTCGCGGAAGCCACTGACAAATATATTCAACAAATAATAGCAGATGTCCCCTGTGTCAAAGCAACACCAATTTTTTCAAGGGAGATGACAAAGAAAGGGCCAAATCAGAAAAAAGAAAACCTTGCGCGTACTGAAAGCAACTTGCTAACATGGGCACTTGCGGGAGCTTGGGTTTGTTCCTTAGCAGCTTGGAATGGCTTCGGGACAATATTTTCCACGAAAGCAGAAACATTCGCAGGGATGGGTGCTGGAAAATGGATGGCTCCTAATCTCGTGGTTTTCATCTGGGCGGGGGTCGGCATGGACTGGCTTGCGAGCATGATGATGGTCCGTCAGACGACGGGGCAGAGGCATACATTGCTTCCATCTGCCACACAACTGTCGATATCAGTTTGCATAGTGTATGTGTTATTGGCGACATTTCAATTCAAACGCAGCTATATTGTATCTGACCATCATACAAATCTCTTCATTGATCGGTACGCGCGCTGCTTGCTTGCACCCCTACCGGCTGATGCGCTGCTTTTTGTGGAGCACAACCAGCTGTGGACATCAATGCAGTATGCGCAGCTTTGTGAAGGGTATCGACGTGATGTGACACTTCTTAATCTTTCGCGTATGAAAGAAGCTCGTTGGGCAATTGAGCAACGCTCATTTGGCAAAAAAGTTGTCTTCCCTGGAACTCACTGTGTCACTGAGACAGATACTTTGGCGCGTGCAACCGGAGCTTTTACCATGTCCAGCCTTTTAGATGTAAATATAGACCGAGTAGGGGGTATATTTGTTGCAGGTAATGTGACATTTCCCCATGCGGAAAAGAAATTGCGGAAATATTTCACGGAGCTGCCAATGGGCTTGACCATGCAGATCTTCAGGCATGAGGACGTGTGGAACTTGAAAAAGTGGACGGAAGATCATTGCGGAATATGGCGCGTGGTTCAGCATGGAGATTCATTTGCATTTCCTATATCAGATTTGCCGCCTCTAAAAAGATATGGAAAAGGAAGTCCAGAGTACATCGTTAGACGCGATTACCTTGACCATTTGGCCGAGGCCGCTGCCCACATGCTAGAGGAGGCAATCGCCCTTCGGGATCGATACTACAAGATCGCTGGAAATAATGCAACCGAGTCGAAAGCTGGCTTGACTGTTACCAAAATGTCTTCCTCTTTAATACTTAAATATTTTCTGGATGCAGCGTGGTGGCTTGAAGTGTTAATCACGTACGATCCGGAACACCCATCGTATGTGCTAAAGAATCTTGGTTTAGCATACATATATGCCTTACACTTGAGCCCAGCAATTTCATCCGCAGCAGCTGAGGCCCAACTAGTCAGAATTCCCCCTGGTAGTCCATTTTCTAACCTTGCTCTCAATTCCACGTCGTCGCGTTGGTACCGCGGTGCCGATCGCAATGAAATCGATTGGAGGATCTGGGCGATGAATCGCTTTGATGAAGCTTGGCGAGTGTGCTTCCAAAAGCCGGAAGATCTGGCTGATTCTGAAATAAATGTTATGCGCCACCAACATGCCATGATCATGACAAATATCGACCCACTCATGATTGAATAGTGGCGAGTTGAGGATGTAAGACCCAGTTTCCATCTAATTTGCTCAACAAAGATATATAAGTAATCTGACAACGAATGAATTGTCCTGTGCTGCGGTACTCTAAAAATGAGGGAAAATCATGCTCATGTTTCCTGTATATAGAGTTGACCAACGCAATTATTGGTACAGTAAGAATGCTACAGTACAATCTAGAGACATTTTTTGCTGATATCTAGCATAAGCATATTATAGATCGACGATCATTCTAAATCATGGCGGATGCAGGCAAAGAGGTCGTACGTCGGGCTCGCCGATTGCACGTCTCATAGTTGCGAAGTCCCGCGCCTACCCGGATGTAACGAGTACCCCCCGACAACCTCCTGGCCCCGCCCACTTGGCTGCGCTTACAAGCGAGCTCTCGAGACGGGTCAGGCAATTTCAGAGCGCTTTCCTCATGACACTCGTGTACACCATTCATTTTGTAGGGATTTGCTGTCTTACTGATGAGTTAAATCGCAGAACGTCACTGAAATTATCGGCTCGTAACCCACTTTCGGTAAAGGTAGAGGAAGCAAGTAGGCCTGGGTCACAGTAGAAGGCTGGAAAGTCGCTTGAATCCGCACCACCAGCAAGAATCTCAACCAATTGAAACAGGCTTAACTTTCTAATATCCGTCATCCGCTGGTTTCATCGCTCTCAGCCTCAAAGCACTCACATCGTTACAGTACCATCGATACTATTGGAAGAACTAGAAGTATGGCATGGGCGTGGAAAACATCAGCCATAGAAAACACTCGCTTTGAAATCAAATATACCCCATACTTTTCTTCAATTGGCCCTGTCTCTACTGCCTGTCCCACCTATGATCCCCGGGCTACCCGTATCTGGGTGAAGATCGAGTGCGACTACACAAGACGTATCCTCGTCAAAGCCATTGCCAAGCGGCAGTCCCGTTTATGTGGTGTTAAAAATCAAAAGGATGCCTCCATATTATGGGCAGACTACGAGGACCTGGATTTCGACCGAGTCCTGGCAAGTGGGGGTAAAATTAAAGCCAACTCGTACTTGGTCCGGAAAGGGCTAGCGCGGAAAGCTCAATTAGCCTATTATCTACGCAAATACATGGCGAAAAGACCAAGGTCAATACTGCATGGAGCAATCCCTGAGACCTTAGTCATCGAAACTTGGGAAGCGTTTGAGGAAGGGATGAGCTTTGGGGCGTTGGGTGCCACATTTGACGGAAATCTCACGGCGACACTCTCATTACGGGATCGATTGGACTGGTGCCTTCGGGACGCGAGAGAAAGGATTGCACGGTCTCCTGGCTCCACCTGGATTCTTAAACCAAGCGTCACCAATAAAGGCGCAGAAATAACTGTTTTTAAGGACTACCAAAGCATGAGGGACATTGTACGGACATGGCCTGACGTGCGTGAGTGGGTTTTGCAGGCATACATAGTCACTCCTCTTCTATACCGTCGCAGAAAATTCCATCTGAGGTGTTATGTTTTGGCAGTAGGAAATCTTTCTGTATACGTTTGGCGGCAAATTTTATTGCTCACCTCGACTGTGGAGTACGATTCAGAGGATCTTTGCAATCAGCTAGCGCACGTAACCAACACCGCCCGACAAGTGGAAGACGGGGAGATGTGCCCAGCGGCGGAGGATTGTGTTTTCTCATTGGATGACTTGGTTGATGATTTGAGAACAAAGCAGCATTTAAGTTTGGAGCAGGCGGGTGGAATTGTCAGCGATATCCGCGGGGGGATTGAAAATGTGACGGGAGAGCTTTTCAAGGCTTTGCACGGGGAGCGGACAGTCTTTGCTCCAGTTCCTCAGTGCTTTGAGCTCCTGGGTCTTGACTTTTTGGTGTCTATGGACCAAACAAGTTCAAATGAATCAGGTCTTCCACTTTTGACACCACAGGTTCATCTACTAGAGGTGAATCCAGGACCGGATTTCAAGCAAACAGGGCCGCGTCTGAAGTCGGTGATAGAGGGGCTGCTGGAGGCTACACTGGACGTGGCCGTCCTTGAAGACGAAGAAATCAGCAAAGATTTGGCATTGGTATACCAATCCTTGCACCCGGAGAATGGGGAGGTCGGGATGCGCTTATTAGACGGGTGACAGAGTGAAAGCTAACACATTTCTTTCGGCATCGAGCAGTGTCTCCACATCTACGCACGCTATGCACCCAATGATTTTTACACTGCGTAAAGTTAACAGAGTGTTGCTGTACACAAGTTCCTGCATCCGTCACTACTGGCACGAACTTTGACCCCCAGATCCCCCCTTTACGATGTATGCCCTCACTATTCTGTAATAAGCGCCAAATATTATCTGCGCCTCAATTTATGCCATCTGCTTCTTCTGGTCGCACATTTGAATACCGTTCGACACCAAAAGAATTGATGTCGAGATTTCTGATCCCAATGGTTCCAAGCAGCTTCTCGGGCAACTCCGCTGTCTCGTCCTCTCCCTGTAGTAAAATACCCATCTCCACCTGCAGGTACTTGGCGTAACCCCGGCACAGCGAGACAATCTGACTTGCCAGAGCGGAGGAAGCAATGTCGACATCCACCTCCACGTAGTCCTCCCCACGAAAGTAGCGTTGCGTGAGTTTCTGTCCCAGAATCGTCGGCTTATTCCCGACCGCCCATTTAATCATGGAGGGCCCGTCCACGATACTGGGGATTAGCTTGAAACGTTTATTCTTGAAGTCAGACAAAGGATACCGCCCCCCTCTCTCAGACTTGCTTTCCCCTTCCCCATCGTCCATGGGAAAATCCACGAAATGATCGAAGAGTGTCCAAAAACATCCGTCTTCCGCTGGTCGCCTGTCTCTAGGCAAGGCGAAAACGGTCACCATACTCAAAGGCGGATCTCCGGGTACTTGGAAATTCAACAAGAAAAAAAACGTGGGCTTGCCATCCCGCCCTTTCATGTCTTGCATCTCGCGCAGTATATCCGCCATCCGGCCGCGACTGGCAATGTGGTCTTCGCGCTGCCCAGGATTTTCTGGAGAAATTCGGAAGACGTAGGCAATGACCAGCTCACCAACGGGAGGGCCGGCCGGGGTTTTGAGCCGATCGTGCAGGTAGCGCCTTCCACGGACCCGGAAGCTGTTCCCACGCCCCGGGTCGTAGTAGGCGTTGGGGTGCTGCAAACGCAATCCCCAGGAGGCGAAGTCTTGGACGGACGCGCCTGGCGCCCGGACCGACTGGTGAGGGGAGGGAGGCGGGGAGGCAGCGGCCGGAGCAGCCGAGGGGTCGTCCGAAGACCGGTTTCTGTCAGTGGGCCCCAGAAATGGGAGGCCGGAGGAAGGCCCAACGCGGTCCCACTGGGAGGGCGAATGGCCGGAGAGCGCACGCACCGTTTCCAGCACGTGCTTTGCGCTCCGAGCCTCCCGTTCCTCGTCGTCCATCCCGTCGTCCGTGCTCGCCGAGGAAAAGGTCTGCCGGTAGCCTGAGCCTTGGCTCTCATCGTTCTCACACCTTTCTTCGGGCGCGCTTCGCGCGGACAGCTTGCTTCCATCCCCTGTTTCCGCACGCACGTCTGGCAGTGCGGCCTCTGCGCCGTCCTCCTCCTCCGTCGAGACCTCGTTGCCATCCATGGACAGCGAACTACCTCTGTTACCGCGACGCTTTGGATCATCTACCGATGAACCTCGCGCCCGAGGAGTATCTTGCTCAACGTGGTGTTTCTCGTCCGCTTCGTTTTTGGGGCGGCAAAAGGTGGGCAGGGACAAGCCTGCCGCCGCCACCGAAACCAGAGACGAAGAACAATGAGGCGCAGAAAGCGCAGGGTCTTCTCTGGACTCATACCCATCTGTTCCCTCGTCCTCGTGACTGTCCGTATCCCCGTCATCCTCGCTTCGTCGCTCGTCTGCGTCTCGGTCGACTTGACCCCTTCCCTCCTCCTCCTGCCCTTCCCTTCCTTCCTCCTCTCCCACGCCAGACCCCCTTTCCCGCTTCTTCTCAACACATTCTTGCGACAGTGAGAGCGACTGAGATCGCCCCGGTAGCGGTGCCAGCCCCAAAAACATCCGAAGCACAGGCTCGTCGCAAATATCCGCCCGCGTGATGATCCGGACGAGGAATTCCTCAAGGCTCTGAGCTCTTCTGGCCAGAAATCGTGGCGAGAGGTTTTTGAACAAGGTCTTGGGCGGTATAGGGGGCAGCAGCTGTCCCTCGTACCCGTGTTTATCGCAAGGGTTGTCCAGGCGTTCCCGAAGGTCCTCGAAATCCGAGTAGCGTTTCCACACCGACCAAGCACAAGCGCTCTCAGTGCCCGCCGCATCACTGCTGCTCCCGATGCGAACCGGAACACGGCAGCTGACCGATATTTTGTAGCTTGCAAATTTCCTTTCAACGACGCGAAACTCTCTGACTTCTACCCGCGCCTCAAGTAAGGAGCTTTGGAATTCATGTTCTCGGCCTCTCCTTGTCGTCGGGCTAGTGACGCCTCGTTGGAGGATGACCGCCGAGTCTAAGGCCTGATCGTGATGAGATGGAGGTCTCTGCGAACCAGGTGCACCGCCAAGAGCGCTGCACACGTCAAATGATCCGCCCCGGCTCTCTGTCTCCTCCAGATGCGTTAGATAGTCCAGTGCCACGCCTGGGCCTGCTTCGATAACGATCCCTACCAAGAAGACGATCAATACACCAAGAGACCACGGTAATACAGAGAACGCGAAAGGACTGAGTAGAGCCACGGCTAGGACGCCAAAACTGCCTTGACCTTTACTGACGCTGTCCTTCAGAATGCACAAAAAAGCACGGATGCTACTGTTGCGGCTTTTTCGTAGCTCGATGGGAGCTGTCGCCGCACGAACTGAAGGCATAGATGCAAATAAAGTACGAATCACCGATTTATGCAGTTGCAACTTTGTATTTTTTTGTGGGGCTGGCCTCGACGTTCATGAGAGATGCCTGGTCACAAAGAAAAAACTTCAGATTGAACGAGCGAGGGGTACCGCTGCAGGGCCTATGGTCAGTGGAAGGGGGATGTAATGATTGGGCAGTCGTGGTTTCTCAGTATGTCATCCGAACTTTAAAAATGTCATCGAGGGCAATGAGGACAAGAGGAGGGAGATTGGGACGCGGAAATAGCGTACTGACAGGGGAGGCTCGATTGAATGTTCGGGTCCGAGATTTTTAACTTCGTTCGCTCTTCGGATTCCTTCGCTCGCTTCCCCCGGCAGAAGCTCGTCTGGCCCTAATAGTATCCCCACAGCCTCCATTTTTTCGCTTCCAGCTGGGATTTTTTGCACTCATTAACTCCCAGAAGTAGGCTAAAGGTATCGGGATGCAGACTCATGGCGAGCTGGTGTGATCGACAGCTTCTTTGTTGCAGCCGGCTGGGGGGTTAGGAGCGTACAAGAAAAGTGGCCGAAAAAAGTGTATGCTTAAAGAAGTAGGATCCCACAATCTGGTGGCATGTTGCCACGGGTGTCTGTGATTGAATTTAAAGCGACCTAGAACGTGGTAAAATCTGCGTGGGACAATTCCGACAGGCGGAAGCGTGCGGTCGCAGTCCTCAAGAAGCTGCTGCACAAGCTCGTTCACACGCGCAAAAAAAAAAAAACAGATTGATTTTTTCAAAATTGGCATGGACCGAACGTAGTTGATGTCGCTGCATGCTAGCAGGGTACTTTGCTTTGGGGGCATGCGTACTGGAGTTGACGATACCCAACATCGCAACCAATGCAATGACACCCTCTTCATTATCCAGTTCACAAGTTCGAAAGTGTAAATACACCAACATTTCGCAGATTGTGCCCGCAATTATCCTTCGAATTACCATATCCCCTACGCATGGGACCGTATTTATACGTCCTGACCGTCGTCCTCGTCGCCCTCTTCGCTCACTATATCCTCCAGCACTGAAGAATATCGTCGTTGTGGAGTGGAACGTTTTGTGATATCTCCATTCGTTTCAGCGGGGCCATTTCTGCTCCCGACATATTGCACAGGCTCGTTCTCATCCTCTTCACCTTCTCTATCCGCTTCATCTTCGCTACTATCAAACGTCGAGTCACTGGTCTCCTCTTCTTCCGCTGCCCTAGCCTGCTTGGCTCTTTCCCGTGCCTCCTGATACGCCAAAAATTCGCTTTGCACAATCCTGGATATTTCCTTTCCGCCTCCTACACCTTCTCCTCCCAAATCGCCTCCTTCCTCGTCGTCCAGCCCGCCATTTTCCAGCAAGGCCTCTGTCTTTTCCCTCTTGCCCAAGGCCCGTCGGTAGATCCGCTCGTCTACAGTCCCTTCCGCCACCAATCTGTAAACTGTCACGGGCTTACTCTGTCCGATGCGGTGACACCGGTCGATTGCCTGCGCGTCCATGCTGGGATTCCAGTCAGGATCGTGAAGGATCACGGTGTCGGCGCTTGTCAGGTTGATGCCCAAGCCCCCCGCCCTCGTGGAAAGTAAAAAAATGGACACCTCGGCGTTGGGTGTATTGTATTGATCGATCATCTCTTGACGCTCAGCCACCGGCGTCTGACCGTCCAGGCGGAGGTAAGGAACGTGCAGCACCCTCTCCAGCATAGCCCCCAAGATGTCCAGTACCCGGGTCCACATCGAGAAAATCAAAACGCGGTGCCCTTCCGCCAAAAGCTGGGGCAGAAGCACCCGCAGGCGCTGGCACTTGCAAGAATCGAACAAGGTGTCTGTCGGCAGGGTGAGATGGGCTAAACGCCGTTCGTCCTCCGCGATCGCATGCAGCTCGTAGTCGCAGAGGCCTTCCAATTCTTTACGCACCATGGCGACCGAGCATTCCCATCCAAAGTACCCGGTTTGATGCAAGACTGCTGCCATTTCCACCAACGCCGAGTCGGAAAAGCGACGGCGAAGGAGCAAGGTGTGATTGGCCACCTTGCGCCACTCGGTAAAAATGTGCCCAGCGTCCCGTTCGGAAAGTGAGGCCGCCCCCGCCGCGGCTTGAGCAGTCACATCCTGGCTGTCTCGGTCTTTCTGCCTGGATGCTTCTGTGGAGCGCAGCATACGCTTCTTCCGCCCCTCTGCTATCGCGTTGCCGGTCTGACCGGACCCAAGCACCTGTCCCTCTGCGTCCTCTTTCTTTTTCCTCCCCTTCTTTCGTGGCTTTGTCTCCCCGTCATCCTTCGCAATCACCGCCGATTCCCTGCCCTCCTCCCTCGACCC